AGAGCGCCTCAGCTCTCTCCGGGAAGATCTTTCCTTCAGAACGACGAGCAGAGCGATATTCCCCAAATTTCGGGACACGGGGTAGAGATCTTCTTTATTAAATCACAAGTGTAGTTTGTGCATGTATGTTAACTCCAAAGCTTCTACACAGATCCTAAAAGTCTAAAAGAAAACAGTGTGAACGTGAGCGAACTGAGAAATGGCCGCGCGATGCGCTCGCACGCACAAACACACCGAGTCTCAGCGCCTGTGTCAGAGGGGAGGCAGTTTGTTCGTATACAGCCTGTATACAAAGAAAAGAGAGACAGCATCAATAATGTAGCATCTTGACTCCGGGAGTCCACAAAGTCCAATTAATCTCAAAGCCAGAGGAACAAAGGCTTTGCTATCTGACAAACAGGACATGGTGTAGTTTGCTGTGCTCTGATTCAGACTTGATAAGCAGAAAAGATCTAGAAAAGAAATGTTAGGGGGCTTAGCAAAGGCGAGTTAAACACCAAAGGTGGCTAAAAGAGATCTTCAAAGGGAACGTCCCGACTCTTTTCGGCTCCTCTGACATTTCACCGTCTCAGACAAGCCCACCTTAGCTCCTCGCTCTGACTGAAAACACACCTTTCACTTCGAGTCGAAACAGATTAAATTTGACTCTGTTCAGCCAAACTGAAAATGCTGCTGTGTGCTGCGCATGCTTAGGAGAAAATACACCGGCCCATGTGCATCATTGCATATGAATGTACTGTATATAAACGCACGGTACCGGTCTGTGAGTCGTTTGGTCCCGGACCGTGAGAGTTGAGCCTCGGGTGTTTTCATCATTAACTCTGTTGTGTGTTATGAATAAATCTTCTTTTTTTGGTAGCGGTACTGGTTTTATTTTGTTGTATTTATCCGCGCCACCTTAAAGGTCGGTCCGTGGCACATAAAAGGCTGGGCACCGCTGGTTTATAAGGTTGGGAAACCTGCAGTCAGCTGAGCCTGAAGGAGTCACAACGTTTCTCCCAGCATGTGATGATTTCCACAGATTTTGCACATATACACTCGGACACCGTACTCTTCACATTAGCTGCGATTTTTACACCACAAAAGTTAAATAAAAGCGTCGCTCATTGTTTGAGCGACTCTTTACACACATTCAGTGGCTCTCAGTGATGAACATGGTGATTAATGACGTCCTTACAGGTTTATATCTGAGAGCGTCTCTGTAGGATCCAAACAGAGCGGCCTGCGCTCTCAGGAAGGCCCTCGCCACACCACTTCCCGTCGCTGTCGACTGCTTCTTCAGCTTGCTCTTCAGCGAGGACACCTGATGGAAAAGAAAGAGAGAGAGGTGGTGGGGGGGAGAGACGGAGGGGTAAAAGTTAAATTATCACCTCTGAAATTGGTGGAAGAAACAGCTAGCCCATTCTGGGTGTGAAGTATCACATTTGCAGGTCATCTCAAAGAAGGGAAAGGAAAGAAAGGGAGAAGCTTCAGCCTTTCCACCGATCTGTTGTGCTGCTGGGAGCACCTGCTGCTTTGCTAATTGAGCGGAGCACGGGGGCGGCGAGGAGGAGGGGACATCGGCGAGGAAATGGAAACTCGCATTCTTGATTTTCCTCTCTCACCCTCTCCTTCTCCATACTGCTCTTCACCCCCTCCCTCCCTCCGCCACCCATCACCTTCTTGCTTTTTTCGCCATCTCTCCCTCCTGCTTCCCCCTCCCCTCTTGGCTCTGCTGGACTCCCTCTAGAAGAGGATTCTTGACATAAAGCGTCTTTAATTATTTTCCCCTCTCCTGGCTCTGTCTCCAGGACTCCAGGCGAGAGTGGAGGAGCAGCAGGCCTGAGCTTGTTTTAGGATGACAAAAGATTCACCCCGGCCACCGGGCCCTGGGGAGTCTGGGAAGGAAGTTGTCAAGAGGCTCTCCTCACCTGCTCAGCAGTAGTCTGTGTTGTGGCAGTGCGAGGAGGAGGC